TTATAGCAGACAGTCATTTCTAAATCTTCAAAACTATGTAAAAAAGAAAGGGCTCATTTTGTATATATAAAACCAAATATCTTAAGCAGTATATTGATTATTTTTAGAATAAGGTAAAATTTGGAAAACCAAATGTTTTTTCCTGTATAATAAGTCAATTTCAGCTTTCAATTACCCGACAGATTGCTCCAGCAATAATTGGTAATTTTATAATTAACTTCTGTTGTTTGTAGCGAGGGACTAATTTTGTAAAGTGCTGTGAGAGACAAGATTAAGAATCTTTAAAACGTATCATTAATCAAACTAGGATTGGAGGAATGCATTATACATTTGCTATGTAATTTTTTGAAATAGCTTTATGTATGTTATTATAAATTGCCTTCAGCAAGTAGTTTTGACTTTTATAATGTGCAAATGACATTTAGCTGATTTTTGCTGATAACTTAGGGCAGTGGCTGCACAGCAGAATCACTCAAGCTCTGAAAAAAATAACGGGTCTTCCAGAGATTTTGATTTTGCTTTTCTGCAGTGAGGAAAATGTATCTATAATTTTAGAAGCTCTTGCAGATAATTCTAATGACTAGCTTAAAGGATTTCGAATGTCACTACCTTAAAGGATTTTTAATATTACACAAATAGGGCATGAGTTAGTAACTTGGAAATAGCAATGAACAGTGTCATATACCAGATCAATAGTTTAAATTAAATGCTTATAAATGTTGTCCGTATTGTCAGAAAAAAATTGAGACTCCTTCTAAAAATGCATTTAAGGGTCAGATGTGGTGGCACGAGCCTGTAGTCCCAACTACTCAGGCAGCTGAGGTAGCAGGATGGCTTGAGCACAGGAGTGCTAGGCTTTAGTGCACAAAGATGACATCTGTGAATAACCACTGCCCTCTAGCCTGGGCAACATGGTGAGACCTTGTCTCTTAAAATACAGTGAGTTTATTACTGGTCTAATCTAACTCCAGTGTGGTGAGGGGGTCAGACTAGTCCTTGACCACAGTGCTCAAGTACATAGGAAATGAATGTTGATTGAATATGCGAAAGAATGAAGAGTTATGTTTCATTCACAATGGCAGATGCTTCATCCATATTAGAGAAATAAAACCTTACTTTTAAAACCTGCCAAGTAAAAAGAAAGCACAATAGCTCACAATAGCTTGTTCTGTAAAGCTCTTTTTACATTCCAGAGCACTTTCACATTCATTAACTTTTCTCATTCATACATTTCAAATTGTAAGAATACAATTGCCTAAGAATACACACAGCCAGGAAGATCCTTTTTAACCCCAGTCACAGAAGAAAAGCTAAAACTACGTAGCAGCCTGGCAGTAATATTGGATCAAGTCAGCATGAGAAATTAGAAATAATATTTTTTAAAATATAACATTTGGGTCAGTTCAAATTAGTGGTGAAAAGATGAGTTATTCAGTAAATGGTGTTGGGACAGTTGGCTATCCATCTGGTAAATAAAGTTATGCAAAATAAATTCCAGATGGATCAAAGAGTTAAATGCAGATAGAATGAGAATTTAGAAGGCAATTTAGGGGATTTTTAAAATGTAATCATGGGATGGGGAAGGCCTAGAGCAAAGGCCAAAAGTCATAAAAGGAACTACTGAGAGGTAGTATACTGTGGTAGGTAAAGGCTTGCACTCTGATTTCATACAATTTAGATTCATTTCCATTTTTGCTTTTAAAACTGTATGATCTTAGAACCAAAAATGTCCTATAAACATCCAAAAAGATGTTTACTCAAGGAAATACTTATTAAAACAGTGAGCTATCATTCTTTTCCTCTTAAATTGGCAAGAATTTAAAAGAATTGGAAAGAGGTGAAAAAGACTACAGTCCCTCATATTCTGTTAGTGAAGTGTAAGTCATACATTCTTTTTTGAAGGGTAAATTGGCAGTATCTATTCAAAGTTAAAATAAGTACGTCCTTTGACTCAGCAATTTTGGTTCTAAATATCTTTCCTAGAGAAATAATTATATATTTATTTTCAAAAATATGTACTAGGATTGTTACTGCGGCATTATTCAGTATAGCTTAAATAAACCATAACGTTCTAAATGCTTATCAGTATGGAAATTGACCTTTTGAGGGTAAGTGAAGAAGGGAGATCCTTTTTTTAAAAATCTATAGGAGGTCTGTGATTTTACTGTGAGAAACCACTAGAAATGTTTTTAGATAGTATTTTGCTAAAAATCATTAGCTAGTGTATTATGCTAAGTGGCAGTTTTAAGGCATAGCTAATTTTAATCAAATGTAATATTTTGAATGTCTTTTATAAACAAATTTTATAACTGCTTTTTTTACAGAATGGAAACAGATTGTAATCCCATGGAGCTAAGCAGTATGGCAGGATTTGAAGAAGGTTCAGAGCTCAATGGTTTTGAAGGAACTGACATGAAAGACATGAGGCTAGAAGCTGAAGCAGTTGTAAATGATGTTCTCTTTGCTGTTAACAACATGTTTGTCTCGAAAAGCCTGCGCTGTGCAGATGATGTGGCCTATATCAACGTGGAAACAAAGGAGAGAAACAGATACTGCCTAGAGCTCACTGAAGCGGGGCTTAAGGTAACTCACTTTTCTTTTTAGAAAAAAAAATTATGTCTTTACCACTTTATTAAAAAGAGGGGTGAGTGGGGAGGGGAAGAGTGTTAACTAGGAACTGGATATTCAGTAGCTTCCAAAATTTTTTTAAGGAAAACTTTCTACCTAGAAATTTTTATTAATTTCAAAGTCTTTTGATCAATATGGAGAAACTGAATTTTTTTGAAAAATATTTGATTTGCAGGGTGTGACTTTGTTTTAATCATGACCCTCAAAACTAATTTATTTCTCATCTATAGCTAAATGTGTTCACCAAAATTATATATACATTCTCTGCATTGATGGGTTTTGCAGTCATTGTGTTGAAAAGATCTTTGTCAACCTCTTAGAAATGTCTCTTCTGTTAAAATAACATACTTGGGCCGGGCACGGTGGCTCACGCCTGTAATCCCAGCACTTTGGGAGGCCGAGGCGAGTGGATCTCAAGGTCAAGAGATCGAGACCATCCTGGTCAACATGGTGAAACCCCGTCTCTACTAAAAATACAAAAAATTAGCTGGGCATGGTGGCGCGTGCCTGTAATCCCAGCTACTCAGGAGGCTGAGGCAGGAGAATTGCCTGAACCCAGGAGGCGGAGGCTGCGGTGAGCCGAGATCACGCCATTGCACTCCAGCCTGGGTAACAAGAGTGAAACTCTGTCTCAAAAAAAAAAAAAAAAAAAAATGACAACACTGTCTTCCAGATCAGAATAAATCAGAGCAGAACATTCCACCCCCAGATTTCCAGTGGTGTCCTATTAGCCCTTTATTACAAGTATCTCTTTATTATGAGAGCTCTTCTAGGCAGATTAACCTTTCCATTGTTTAAACGAAAATCATGAGTTTAGAATAGTAGAAAACATCACCAGAGAGCAACTTTTAATTAAAAAAGAAAAAAACTGTAAGCCATGCCTGGTGGCCCTTGCCTGTAATCCTAGCACTTAAGGAGGCCAAGCTAGTAGGATCATTTTAGGCCAGGAATTCGAGATCAGCCTGGGCAACATAGCGAGACCCTGTTTCTTCAATATGTATATGTTTTAATTAGCCCAACATGGTGGCATTTGCCTGTAATCCCAACTACTTGGGAGGCTTAGGAGGGGGCCCATGAGTTCAAGGTTGCAGTGAGCTGTGACTGGCCCACTGTACTTCAGCCTGGGTACACAAAGAGATCCTTTTGGGAAAAAAAAAAAAAACAACTTATAAAAACCTTTGACCTACTGAACAAACGGCTAGACATTAGAAAATCTAAAATTTAGTTTTAACCTTCCTAATCAATGAATCTTCAGTCTTGGCAAATGTCATACATTTCTGTGTTTCTATATTTGTTCAAAGTAATTGTACATTATCATAAGATGGTGAGCAAGGCCTGCCTAAGCAAGTAAGAGTGTTACATAATATTATGTTAAGTACATAAATATCTCTTTATTTCACTGGATTCAGTTTGCTGGAGATGAGTCATGTATACTGTATACTCCTTGATAGAGCAAAGTGCAAGACCAGCATTTGTACTGCCCTCAGTTCCCTCACAGCTGCCACAAAGACTGCTGCTTAGCTTTAAGTGTAGTACCTGAATTAACTAATTTTCTTGCACTCCTTTCCACATCCTTAAATTTGTACTAAAAGCTCCTAGTGTTTAGAGATGGATCTTTAATCAGAAGTAGAGGTAAGTGACCCCAGGTAAACTAATTCTGTGTTGTGTTGGTTAATTCTAAGTTGGCTATGGAGAGGTAGAAGGAGTTCTGATCAGAGAGTCAGCAGTGCAGTCTTAAATGTGAATTTTAATGATCTTGGGTGAGTCTGTCTACCCCTGAGAGTTCCTGCTTCTTAATTAACTTAGAGATTACAAAAAGTAAAATGATTTGGGGAATGATTATTTGACTGTATGATAACAGAAATATCTGAACCATTTGTAAAACCTGGCATGTAGTAGGTACCCAAATATTTGTTTTTCAGTCTGATTCAGTTAACATTTATTGAGCTACTATCCTGCATCAGCAAATTGAAAATCAAACCATGAATAAGACATGATCCATGTTCACCAGGAAGATCACAGTCTGGCAGAGATAAGAGGAAGGAGGCAAACAACTGTACTCCACTGTAGAGTGCAGTAATTGAGCATGGATCTGAAGAGGTGTGATTCATTTTCCTTAGGTGTCTGCCTCTGCTTTTCATTAAAAAAAAAACGCTCAGCTTCTATTTCTAACATAAACTTTCATCTCTATGGCTTAAATAGATGTCATAAAAATTTAGGATTTATATAGGGAATTTACAGACTTTAGTCAAGTCAGCAAAAACTAAATTAATTTTGCCCTGTGTTGTGCGGGTGAACCATGACATACCTTATAAAATCCTGTCAAAAAGAAAAGTTGTAGCTGTGTTTACAGGAGAGAAAAAAACCTACACATCGCTTCTCAGCCTTTTGGCTAAGATCAGTTGTAGTATCTCTTCTTATCAGTTTAATATCTGTTGGGTCCTCTATCCAAGGATAGTATATTAAATGGATTTTTGGAGCAGGGAGATAGAATAGGCTCTTGCTCTGTTCACTCCTCACATCGACCTGGTATTGCAATTTCCAGAAATAGTGTACCCCACCAAGAAAAAAAAACACAGTAACATTCCCTTTTATCTCACAGAGTTGAGCATTCATTCCCTGTCAGATAAGAAATATATTAAGTGGAAGTGACCTTTCAGATTACTAATAATAAGGCTAAGCAGTTATGAAAACTAAACTAATGATTAAACCAATTATTAATAAAATAATTATTAAAATTAACTAATTAAAACTAAATCATTAGGGATAGTTTATAGAATTCTATGTATAAAAGGAATACAAAATAAATAATGATAAAAATATGAACTAATGCTATATTACCTATTATAGTACTTAATATAGTAGACCTTCAATATATGTGGAATTAAATAGGGTAAATAATACATGCATGTTTTGTAATATGAAAATGAAATACTGTTTTTGTGTAGCTTTTCAAATTCTTTCTCTACATTACTTTGAGACTCAGAAGTAAATAAAACCTTTTAAATTTTGAAAAAAATTCTATAGGGAGCTTTTTATTGGTGTTTCTGTGTTATATATTACAAGTTGCTCAAGTATTAAAGTTTTTGTTTAAAATGTACATACTCTGACTTTGATTGAGAAATAGTCTCATTTGATAATTACCCATGTATCTCTGGTGGTCCCGTGGCTAGGAAAAAAATATATATATTTTTTTAAAAAGGATGATTATTCACGTAAACACTTGGTTTTTGCTTTCTGTACCAAGATGAAAACTGATGAATTCACTGTTGCATTTCCCTTGTAGGTGGTAGGCTATGCTTTTGACCAGGTGGATGATCATTTACAGACTCCCTACCATGAAACAGTCTACTCCTTGTTGGATACACTCAGCCCTGCCTACCGGGAAGCATTTGGAAACGCACTCCTTCAAAGACTGGAAGCTTTGAAAAGGGATGGACAGTCATGACTATATTTTTTCCTTTCAGAGGGGCTGGTGCTGGTACAGAATGTTGACATGAAGCTTGAAATTCTTGCATATGGTCATATGAAATGCATCTTTGGTTTTGTGTCTTAATCACTTGCTTCCAACTTAGGCTTTTGGCTCAGAAGATTATTGAATAATGATTTTAGTTTCTGTTTCACTAAGGGAATTCTGAGGCCGTTGCTGTGATACCATCATTAAGACCTTCACATTTCTTCATATAATCTCTCTGCATTTCAAATTCTAATCAGTATTTCATACTCTTATTACAGGGCTTTGATGCTGCCAGCACTCTCTTTTACATAGGAAATTCTAGATTTGCACAGTAATAGAGGAATTAGAATTACCTAACTATACACTTTGATTCAGCCTGCTAAATCAGGGGTTCACTACTAGCTTGGACAAACTTTGTAGTAATTATTTGCTACTAGCCTTATTGGAAACAAATTACAACTAGTTTCCCCTGCACAAATTTTGAAATTCACTGCTTCACGTAATCTATTTATATTACTAATATGGTTTAATAAAGATGAATTAATTATATATTACTTAACTAGTATTAAATGAAAAACAAGGACTGAAATAGTTCTGTATTCCGTGTTTGCAACAGCCAGCCAACTAAGCAGAGGATAAACCGTTAGCAAATGAATGTAATAATTACTCATTTCCTAGATATCTAAGCACATAAGCAAATACAGGAACAGACTCCATTCTTTTTCTTAACAAAAAGCATCTTCAGTGTGTGATTTAAAAGAAGAAAGATACTGGTTTCCTAAAAAACAATATTTTGGCCTGTGTTGATTCTTATTCTGAATGTGTGTTTACATAATGTACAGTATATATTCAGAAAGTATTTTTGCTTCAACGTTTACTTTCTATGATGTAGTGCTTTGGTATTCCCACAGCACCCCACCTTCCCCAACAGATGTACAGTATTCTGTCTCCATGCGAAATCTACAATGTAATATGAGTGCATTGTATGGGTTTGAAACCAAAGGATGAATGAAGCATTCAGAGACTTAATATTTGAAAAAGGGATACTCAGTATTTTATATTTTATTACAGGTACTGATATTTATAAACTTCATAAATGTACCATGCTGCCACATGTTGTCAAGTACATGTTGAACCATAAGGATTGGGGAGTTGTTTTTTAATGGTTGCCTAAAGCAGCTGCCGTAGAAATGTGGAACTGAAATTTTGCATCTGGTCACACCTTCATACATTTGTCATGTGCAGATATTTTTCCATCATTAATAAAAAATAGGAACTTTTAGGCTCTGAAGATCATGTGGACCAGAGCAAATTAAAGTTGTTTGTGTCGCAATCCACTGTCAGACTTCATTGGAATGCTTTGTTTGATGATGTATATTAATTCTCAGCTTTATTTTCAGATGCTTAACTGGGCAATGAAGTCTAACTTCAGGTTGAACTTTCTCATGCTTAATCTCAGGCTAAATGTAAATGATATTTGTAAAGTTTGAATAAAATTCTCTTTACTCATTTTGAGTTAGTATGAAGAAAAGTGATGATTGTATGTTTAAGAATTGAAATTGTTCACTTTGTGATAAATGATTAATTCCAAGAGCTTGTTTCCATTTTTTAATTCTGTATTATTATGTTTTGATTTGAAGTGACTGAAGTGAGCCACTTTTTATTACTATGAAAGAGTAATGAGGAACAAGAGGAGAGGACTTTAATAAAACTACACAGATATACATGAGAATCTAGATATTAAAACCTCCATGTTACCTGGTCCGTTTAAAGAACTTAACCAGCAGATAGGCTGGGCGTGCTGGCTCACACTTGGAATTCCAGTGGTTTGGGAGTCCCAGTCAGGAGGATCACGTGAGGAGTACAAAACCAGCCTGAGCAACATAGATCCTATCTCTACAAAAAGTTATGAAAGCATGGCTGGTGACACACGCCTGTAGTCGTAGCTACTAGGAAAGCTGAAGCAGGAAAATTGCTTGAGCCCAGGAATTGGAGACTGTAGTGAACTACAATCGTGCTTCTGCACTGCAACCTGGATGACAGAACAAGACCCCGTCTATTTAAAAAAAAAAAAAAAAAAAAAGAAAATTATGTTATGGAACAACCAGATAAATTAAGCCTTGATTTTGCTTCTAAAGGAAAATGAAAAACTTGTGTATAAATAACTCTTACAAATCAAAGGAAGAAAAAATACAAACAATGGGCAAATACAATCAACTCAAAAAAAAAAAAAATGCAGAGGTCAGTAATTACTTGAAAGAGGTCCAACCCAACTATTCTTTCAAGAAAGAAAAATTTTAAGTGATCTGGTCATTTTACTTACTAATTTTGTGATTCTTCTTATTTAAACTTAATACCAGTGAGGATTTAGTGAGGGAGCATTCTTACATTCTATTGGAGGGTATGTTGGTGAGATCTTTCTGGAAACATTGATAATAAATCCTTTACGAAGTTTATAATTTCTGAATTGGTAATATACTAGCAATCTAGCATTGAAAAATGATTCAGAAAAAAGATAAACTATTATACAAGGGTTCATTTTCCCTAATGAAAAATTGAGAAGGCTCTAAAGAGTGGTAAAGTTATGCTACATCCTTTAGATGGAAAATAGGCAGCCACTAAAAATCATGAAAAAATGGCAATGGGGAAAAATAATGCTACACAAAGAAGGATATAAAACTATACATACTGTTTTGAAAACTGTGTATGTAACAAAAAATGAAACGATTATAAGATGTTAGTAATCACTAGATAATAAAAATAGGTCATTTTCATTTTCTTAATACTTTTTCACATTTTATCCATTAGCTTGTATGTACTAATTAGAAGCAGGAATGCAATTGATGTGGGGTTTAAGCTAGCTGAAGGCTGTCTAGCAAAAGCACCAAGCCTTGCTGGGTCGTATCTGCTCCCAGGATCCTTGAAGAGGCAGCATGATTGTGAAGAAAAGAGTGCACACCTCATTTCCCATAGTGACACTCTTCCCACCTTTTCTCCAGGTCCAGCTGCTACTAGTGCATTTACAAACAGCTTCTTCCATTGCACACTGTGCTGTTCTCTCCCGTGTTCAGAAACATAAAATGTGCTGTTTGAATGTTAAGGAGGAATACAGTAAGAAACACTGAAATTCCGATAGGTGCCATATTGACTTCAGAACTTTCTTTCCATCCTCTTTATTTTCTGGATGGTATGGGTGAGACAGACTGAGCAACTTGCTCAGCAGCTACCTGTGAGAAGTGGCATTGGATCAGAACCCAGGTCTTCTGACTCCACCAGCTCTACCCATATAGTATGTGTTAATAAAAGCCATCACATTAATTTTGTGTTTATATGAAAACTGATTTTAAAAGAGGGAAAGAATAACAAAGGAAAGATCCATTAGTTGGTATAATAGAATTAATAGAATCTCCAGCCTGGGCGTTGTGACTCACACCTGTAATCCCAACACTTTGGGAAGCTGAGGTGGGTGAATTACCTGAGGTCGGGAATTCGAGACCAGCCTGCCCAACATGGTGAAACCCCATCTCTACTAAAAATACAAAAATTAACTGGGCGTGGTGGCACACGCTTGTAAGCCTAACTACTCAGGAGACTGAGGCAGGAGAATTGCTTGAACCCATGAGGTGGAGGTTGCAGTGAGCCAAGATTGCCCCCATGTACTCCAGCCTGGTCGACAGAGTGAGACTTAGTCTCAAACAGTAATAATAGAATCTCCTTTTTGAACCTACCAATATATATGAAATTATCTAGATGCCATCCCCCTTATTTCAAGAAACACAGGTAAGTCATATTTCATTGTAGCATGACTAGCTGAATAACTTTCAAAGTATTTACCTGCTTAACTGCATATCAACAAGGAACGCAGAGGCAAAGTAACAATTTGAAAATGAATCAAGTGAATTTAAGAATATTTGAACTAGTAAGTCATTTGAAAGAATGCTGAAGCATATTTTCTAAGTTTTGCACTGATCTTGCGTGAATACTTGTACATTTAAACTGACACTACTTTCTTGTTGATTAAAAAAAAAAAATGCCGAGTGCAGTGCGGTGGCTCATACCTGTAATCCCAGCACTTTGGGAGGACAAAGTGGATGGATCACGAGGTCAGGAGTTCAAGACCAGCCTGACCAACATGGTGAAACCCCATCTCTACTCAAAATACAAAAATTAGCTGGGTATAGTGGCATGTGTCTGTAATCCCAGCTACTCGGGAGGCTAAGGCAGGAGAATGACTTGAACCCAGGAGGCGGAGGTTGTGGTGAGCTGAGATCACACCACTGCACTACAGCCTAAGCAAGAGAGCAAGACTTCATCTCAAAAAAAAAGCAAAAAATATTTGCTATAAGCAAACTGTTCCCAAATTGAGTTGGCAAAAATTTCAAAGCGTTACTTTATCAAAACAAGTTTTAATGAGACTTGTATGTATGCAAAAGAAAATGGGGTGGGGACAGAAAATTGAAACATAAAGGCTTCCATCTGTAGAAGTGTGCCTTAGCCTTGCAGAAAAAAAGAAAAAAAGCAGTAATTTCACCTTCGGAGACCACTTCAGAAAATGCTTCACATATGTCTTATTTAATCCTAACAGCCTTATTAGGCTAGTGGTATCACTCCTATTTTACAGGCAATTTAACAGCCTAGGGAAAGTTAAAAGATTGGTCCCAGCCTCCCACAAATGACTGCAGAGCTGAAACTCAAAGCCAAATCTCTTGAGTGCCTGAAAACTCAGGGCCTCCAATCTGTCTGGAGATCTTGGGCCACCTCCGATTCTTGAAACACTTTGGGAGGCTGAGGCAGGCGGATCACCTGAGGTTGGGAGTTCGAGACCAGCCTGAACAACATGGAGAAACCCCGTCTCTACTAAAAATACAAAAATTAGCTGGGCGTGGAGGTGCATTCCTGTTATCCCAGCTCCTTGGGAGGCTGAGGCAGGAGAATCACTTGCACCTGGGAGGCAGAGATTGAGCTGAGATCGGGCCATTGCACTCCAGCCACAAGAACGAAACTCCGTTTATTAAAAAGAGAAGAAAAGGCCAGGTGGGGTGGCTCACACCTGTAACCACAGCATTTTGGGAGGCCAAGGCGGGCGGATCACTTGAGGCCAGAAGTTCAAAACCAGTGTGGCCAACATGTTGAAACCCTGTCTACTAAAAATAGAAAAATTAGCCGGGTGTGGTGGTAGGCACCTGTAATCCCAGCTACTCCGGAGACTGAGGCAGAAGAATCGCTTGAACTCGGGAGGCAAGGTTGCAGTGAGCCGACATTATGCCATTGCACTCCAGTCTAGGTGACAGAGCAAGACTCCGTCTCAAAAAAATAAAGTAAAAATTAAAAAGAACAAGAAGGCTGGCGCAGTGGTTCATGCCTGCAATACCAGCACTTTAGGAGGACGAGGCAGGAGAATCTCTTGAGCCTAGGAGTCAGAGACCAGCCTGGGCAATAAACACAGTGAGACCATGTCTCTATTAAAAATAATAAAATAAAAAGAACGAGGAGAAACCACTCACACACAATTGCTGCAAGTGTTAAATATTTGCATTTAACGAGTTAATTAATGCTTAAAGCATGAAAATAGTTCAATATGATCAGGCTCTTCCAAGGTAACTGCGGGAGGTACTCTTAGTCCACCACAACCTTTGCGGTCCTGTGATCACCAGGTTGGATGCTGTCTTTCAATTTGTGGATTTATCTCAGCAACTGCATGTATAATCTCTCGTGGGACGGTCAATTCTAAATTTTGTCCCTTGGTGAATGTGAGCGAATTCCGAGCACCCACGCCCTCTGGTCGCCCCCAGCGGACACCAGGGGTCCTCCCGGAACTTGCGTCTGGAAACAACCCCAAGGGAGCTGGGCCCGCGGACCAAGCCGCAACCGCCGCACGGCGAGACGATGCTAGGGTCGCTCAGATGCTCGGGAGCCTGAAACTCCATGGCAACAGCTGTTCTTCGCAGCTGAGGCTCACGCCCCGTCGCCCCAGCCAGACCACCCCACGGGAGCGCGCTCAGTAACTCCCACGTGGCGGGGAGAGGCCTAGGCTGTGGGGCATTCCCTCTTCTTCAGAATCCTCATTATTTTTTAGTCATCGGATCAAGCGGGCACAGGGATGTGTTTTTAGACCTTACGAACAATGAAGATAAAAAGGCACTGAGATCACAGGGTCCCCTGGGACAAACGCCCAGGGAGCCTCCAAAAGACACGGTGCACTGCCCAAGGGCTCCCAGTGGGCGTCAAGCCAGGGTGAGATCCGGGCTGCACTCGCGGCGCTGCGGAGAGCACTCGCCGGGACATCCGCCTGGCGCCCAGCAGCCGAGAGCGCGCGCAACTGCTGGTCCTGAGCCCCGCTTGGCCGGGCACACCCAACTCAGCGCCCGGCACGCCCCGCCTCCCCCCGCCAGGCACGCCCCGCCCCGCCTATCACGCCCTGCTTAGCGCCCGGCACGCCCCGCCCCGCCCAGAGCCCGGTACGACACGCCCCACCCTGCCAGGAGCGCCCCGCCCCGCCTGGCATGCCCCGCCTAGCGCCCCGCACTCCGTGCTTTGCGCACGACACGCCCCTCCTGCCCAGCACGTGTCGCCCGGGCCCCGCCCCCAGAAAGAGAACCGGCCCCGCCTCCCCGGCCCGGGCCCCGCCTCCTTGGCAAGCGGAGGGACGCTTTCGCCGTAGCAACCAGCACTGTGCCCACCATGGCTGAAGAAGAGGAAACTGCTGCTCCCGCGGAGAAAGTTCTCCGGATTCAGAGGGTGTTTATAAACCTGCTGGACTCCTACAGCAGCGGAAACATCGGAAAGGTGAGCGGCGGCGGCGGCCCAGAGCCGCATCCCAGCTCTCCGCTCACAGCCCCCGGCCCCCGATCCGCAAACCCAGCGAGGGTCTGCGCTCCAGGGCTCTCTTGGGGCCTTTCTTCAGGGAGGGTCCCGTGTCCTGGGCACCACCAATGCCCCCTGGACCTCAGTCCGCACCCAGTGTGGACAAGGGATCCTACGCTTGAAGCCCACGTGTCTGGAGATCACAGGTCCATCCCCAGTTCCTCCTTTTAATGAGGGGAAACTGAGGCTGAGAGGGAGGAAGGAACTTGCCCAAGATCACAGAGAGTTGAGGCCAGAACCTGGACAGAGAGTCCAGGTCTCCCGCTTCCTGCTAGGTTCTCTTTCCACTCCTCCATCCATTTCGAAGTTGGCAGCTAAATGAGAAAATAAATGAAAATTTTATATAGCTCCTGAAGCGTTTTTCATTCATCCATCCCTTCAATATATGGTTTTTGAGCATCTGTTATGAACCAGACACTGTTTGGGTCTCTGAATTCCATTACATTTCCTCACCTTTCTCTGTCTTTAGCCCTGGAAAATGA